AGTGCAACTTTACTAAGTTCAGTGAGTGATGGGATGCAACTTAAAGTTCAGTTAGTGAAACGTGACACTTTGTAAAGTTCAGTGACCGTTGAAACAATTAACTCGGCCACCTGGATTAATTTAACGGCCACGTGTGCAAACCGTCATCCACGTAGGCAACCGATTTTGACGGAATTAGTCCGGTGATGGATGGAGTGCAACTTTACTAAGTTCAGTGAGTGATGGTTGCTAGAATGGTGAGGAGAGGAGAGATGTGGAGTTTCTAGGAATAGAAAGAATTAGGGCACAATTCCCTAGGAAGCTAATTGGACCAGAAAGTTGGGTTTGTAAATATTTTCAAATTTGGGCCTAAGGTAATTGGGCTGAAATGCTTTCGATTTGGACTTATTTAGTTGGATCTATGGAATCAGACTTTAAGTAATTGGATTTCATTAAAATGGGCTAAATAAATTGGATTTAAAAAAAAAAAAAATTGGTACTAATAATTATTCGAAAATGAATTCGATTTCGAAAATTTAAATTCGTTTATAACGACTAGACGAACGCGTTTTCACTTTAACATTAGGATTTAAAATTTAGCGACACGTTTTTCGAGAAAAAAATAATTTTATAAAATTTAAAATTCTTGGTCGCTACAGTATTTAACTCTTGAAACAATGATCACTTTTTTTTTTTTTTATCAAGCACCATACCACTTTGCACTGAAATAATCACATCTTTTGTCAAGCACCATTACCACTTTGCACTAATACCCTACAATTTTTTTCTTTTCAAAGACAAAAAAGAAACAAACTACATTTTGAACAATTAAATAATTGAATTCAAAAATAAAAAAATAAAAACACTGACCTTGTACTGGGATTGAGGATTACCAAACAATTGCAAGAGGCGTTTCATCCTACGAAGATCAAACCCATCATCGGAATCAGTGCCGACACATTTGGGCACGTCGGATTTCTCGTAGTTCTTCAGTCCATCCATGTATTCCATAAACTCTTTCAGTTCTGGGTCCTTCGAGAAATCAGTAGAAAAGGATCGACTTAAAAGGTTGATAGACATTGGAATGTGTTGAAAATATGCCTTCTTCGAGGCCTACTGCGATGGCTGCTACAGGAACGAAAACCTTTGCTTTTTGAAGAGAAAATGAAAGGAAGAGAATGAATCTTCTAGAAGGAACAAAAACGAACCCCTATTTTTTTACTGTTTTGCTATCGGTACATCAAGATATATATCGGGGTGTACACCCCCTCACATGGGGGTGGAGCCCACTTCAATAAAAAAATATTTTACACAAGTGGACCCTACCCCATGTGAGTGGGATGTACACCCTTATGTACAATTCTTGATATACAAGTAGAATAACCCAATTGAGACTTTCAACGGGCTGAAGGGAACGACTTGGCTTAAGGGAACGGTTGGACGGAGCTGTGAAGCCACCGGCTTGTGAATAGTGAATTGAGTGAAATTTGCGTGAATATGGGGGTTGAGGATGTGATAGATTTAAGATAATTTTTATATTTAAACTTAATCAACAATATATTTATTATTATCACATTTTAAATTTTTTTAAGAAAATTTAAATCGATCCAAATGAATATTCATATTGTGAAATATCAAATCAAATGAAAAATTGTAGGAAAATAAAGTTTGAAAAAAGGACATTGGAATGGGGTCGGAATTGAAAAGAAACATAAAAAATCACGACTTTACGTTTCACAATTAATGTAAATTATTTTTGATATTTAAAATTTATCGATCATATATTTATCATGATCGCACTTCAACATTTCCAACAAATTCTAAATCGCTTCAAATGAATACTTGTAACTTAAAATACTGAATCAAATGTAAAAAAAAAAAA